CGGGTTGGGGGTTGCGGGTGGTGGGTGCGAGGGGCCAACCCTACAGCCGAGACGGGGATGCGCCGGCTGTGCCTCTGGAGCAAGCGGGTACCAATCTGGGTCGCTTTGTCCCAGCACCGCAGTGCCCTCCGAGCTTGGAGAGTCCAGAGCTGGGAGACCCGGGAAGCTGGGAGTGTTGGAAAGGCAGGGCTGGTGGGGATGGGGAGGGGGGAGCCGGCTGCTGGGAATTTCTTCCATATCCACAAATGCCTCGGAGTGATGGGGGGAGAGAGAGTGACCGGACGAGCCCCGCTGCTCATCCTGGGGTCCCGGGCTGCGGACAGGGCAGGGTGCACAGCCTGTGTCCCATCGGCCACACGCTTCTGGTGTTAGCAAGCAGCTGGAGAGGAAAAAGCAGCCAACAGCTTCTTGCATCTTGCCGCCCGGCGATATTTCAGGGTCAGAGGAAGAGCTCTGTCTGGGGGGATGGCCATTATGTAAAGTGACTGGGACTTTTCCAGTCCGGGGACAGACACGTCCTTGCCCCCAGAGCCTGGCAAGGACACAGCCTTGGCCGAGCTCCTGCGCCAGCCCCATGGTGCAGCATGGCCCCCCCACTCCCCCCAGCCCCCTTCTGCGACTGACTCTGGCAAGACTTTTGCCTGCAGGGTCAGGATCGGGCCCGGCGTGTGTGTGTGTGTGTGTGTGTTGATCTGGTTTAATGTCTGGCTGTAAGTGGATTTCTTGGAAAGTAATGCTTAAATAAAAGGGGTTATACAAGGCGTCTGGAGCAGGGGGTTGGGACGTGGAGGCAGAAGGTCCTTTCTCCACCAGCGTTTCTATGACAGCAGTCAGCTCTCCTCCCGCAGCGCAGACACTTATTCATCGCCCGCTGCGAGACCAGTGCCAGAGGTTCAGGGTATGACTGGAAGCAAAGGGCTGAGCGGGCCGGCCGATCCTGGCGTTGGCAGCAGAAAGCAGGTCCCTTTATGCAACCTCCCGAGGCGGCCGTCTCGTACCCCGCGCACCCGTCCTTCAGCGCAAATGCACGTGCACGGTCCTGTAGTACCGTCTGCCTTATTGCCAGATTGTCTGATTGGGGGCGTACAATTATATATCTCTTTTTAAAAAGCCTCGGTGAGTATAAAGAGGAAACGTTTCAAGCTCTGTGCTTGGTCTTCCCTGCCCGCTCCGTTCCCTGAAGGACAGGGGAAATGTGGCTTAGGGCAACGAGGAAATTGCAATCACAGCTGCAGCTCCCGTAAACCTGCGCTTGCTGGTGCTGCTCAGGCTCAGCCATGTGGGTGGTGCTTTCGGGACGTGTTTTCCAACTCCCGCAGCTTGCAGACCGCTCTCAGGCTGCACAACTTCTTACGGGCTCCCCTTCGCTTTCAAACATTAACAACTGATAAAATGTCCAGCCCACAAGTATGGAGTTTTTTTTGTGGTTCAGCGTCGCACAATGGGCCAGTTTGCAGTGCCTCACTCAGTGCTGCAGCGCTCTTCGCTTGGGAGAGAATAAATTGTCAACTTTTTATCTTCTGTTTTTCTAAGTGAACAAAAAAAAAAGTACTGTAACGCGTAACACGGGAGGCCTCCCAACATGCCTGGAGCCGGGAGGCTGGGGAGCGCTATCAGTCACTCATCAGCTGCCGGGGCCGCCAGCTGGCTTACGTCCCTAATGTCTAATGATATCATAGATCAAAAATAGCTGCAGCAGAAGAGAAATGCAGAATTCATAGCTCCATTTTACGCGTCGTGTTTGCACCAAATCAGTCGCTTTATTGCCCGGCTGTGCAAATGTTCGAATGGGTTTGCCCATGTGGAAAACAAACCTCTAGACTTTGTACCTATTTGTTCATCTCTATGTGTTGTTAGCAGCTGGAATATTTCGTCACTGGATGCGTGCTTGCAGGATGGGGTACCCAGCAGCAAGTTCCCACATTTCCTGACTTGAGCCCTAGGGTCCCGGCTAACGTTATCAATGAAAATAAGCTCCAAGGGATCAGGTGTTGCTGTGCTGCACAGCTCAGCGTGGCCAACGCAGCCTTGGTGCGAGAGCGGCTGGGTCCAGGCTCTCTGCTGCTCTCTGGGTTGTGGTGGCACTTTGAGCCCCAGGCAGGGAGCAAGGTCTGCCTGTGCTCTGCGCCGGGCATGGCGATGATAGCTGTGGCAGAGCTTCTTCCTCCATGGTAAGACGTGATGGGGCACCTGGTGGCAGCGGAGGCGGGCAGGGTTGCGGGCAGACACCGACTTCCTGCATCCTGCTGTCACGGGGCTGCTCGTCCTGACCTGCAGTTTGCTGGCAGAGCTGCATCAGCGCCGTGTTTGAACCGGGGCAGGAGGAGAGGCTGCCAGGGTTGGGAGTGCAGGACACATCATCAACACTGATGTCTCCTGATGATCTCTGGTTGGCCTCTGCCCAGCCCCCTGGACACAGCTCGCCCCAGTAGGAGCTGCTGGCCCTTCAGGGATGCTGCCCGCACCCCTTTGCCACAGTAAATGCAGCACCAGTGCCTGCAAGTGGTGCCTAGTTTATGATGCGGGTTTGGCCTCAGAGCCAGCATCCTACTGGTGATGGGATGATTCTGTGACACAGGGCTGGGTGGGTGCACAGACCCGTTGGCTTAACTGGAAAACCCGCAGTCCGATGGATGTAGGTCACCTCTGCGGGAAGCTGTGATATAACGGGGTGGGTCTGGGAATCCTCCGTGGTTCAAACCCACAAACATAACCACACCTGGTTACTGCATGACTCTCGCTGTTTAGGCTTTCGGGGTGCTGCTTGCTCATACTCCCTGACATCCCCCACCCCGATTCCCCTGCGGGCAGGGCTGGTAGAAAGGAAGGTCTTTATGGGGTTTCCCTGAAGCAGGAGAGAAGAGGGTCTCACTGCCTGTTATTTAGGAGCAGGCAGGAGCAGGCAGGGTGCCCAGCACTGTGACGCTTGGGGTGTCGTGGCCAGCAGCACCCACGGGATCTGTGCCCCCTGCCACTGAGATCCCATCAGTGACATCTCACTGACGAGCAACTGGATGCTCAGTTCCCTTCCTTCTTTTTGGGAAATCTCAGCGTTTTCTCATACTTGGAAACCCTGAGTCATGTGGTGGGGGCAGATCCTTGCATCCCCTGGTTTCCCCTCTGCCCCTGGAGAGCGGTGGCAGCCAGGTGGGTCTGGGAGGCTCCCCGGCATTTTGGGATCACAGGTCTCTGCAGCTGCAGGCTCGTTTGGTAACGTGTTATTGTGGCTCCGCTGGATGAATCACATTGCAGAGCCTCCTGTGGCAACAGGCTCCGTAGGGACTACGTGTATGGTAGAGCCTTTTTGCTGCATCCCAAAAGGATGGATGAGAGCCCAGATCCGACTATGGCTGAGCCCCAAGGCAGCAGTGGGGAGCTTTAGCTGAGGGTGTTTGGAGGAGATAGGGAAAACTGAAGGCAGGAGCCTCAAAAAGTTTAAAAGTAGATATTTAGGGGAAATAACTTCCTTGCTGAGACTTATGAGGCTAGTGACTCCTGCCCAAGAGGAGCGTGGGAGCTGGCTGTGCTCAGTGCGAGGCAGCAGCACAGGGGCTGTCCCACTGTGGCGGCATCTTCTCGGCCTCATCCAACCCCTCTTCCTCTCCGCAGACAGACACATCACACAAATGATGACATTTCTCTTTCCAGCCCCAGACGCCAGCTCCCTGCGGCTGTGCCGGGCAGAGGTGTTCATGGCGCTGGGGCAGTACCCGCGGGCGCTGGAGGACCTGGATGCTGTGTGCAGGGCTGAGCCTGGAGATCACGAGGTGAGGAGAGGGGAGACCCCATTGGTTGGCTGCGTTTGGAACCGAGTATTTCTGTATGGGAGCAGTTTCTCCCTTTCCTGAATTCTCTTAGCCATTGGATTCATCCTGCTCAGAAATACACTCCCAAACCCATTAAGGTGCAAATCCAAGCTGTGAGTGCTGCGTTGCACTAACGGGAGAGGTCCAGCACCGCGTCCCTCCTTCCTCGCGTGCAGGCAGGGAGGACACGTAGCCGTGCCGGTGCGCAGGATCGCAGTGGGGGTTTCGGGGAAGGATTGGCTGGAGGCTGAGCTGCCTTTGGAGAAATCAGCCCTGAGAGCTCCCTTGCTGATTTGTGAAGCACTCGTTGGCAATAGTTTTGCGCTTTCAAAGGTGGAAGCCCTTGACTCCGTCTCTAGGTCTCTGTAGGGTTTGGTTGCTTGGCTTTTGCAACTTCTGCGTTTTGGGAGAGTCCTATTTTATAGGTACCTGCCCGCAGCTGGACCTGTCCTTTTCAGACATCTGAGCATAGGAGCAGCGACGTGTCTGGGTGCTTTGGCGTGGGATGGGAGCAGGCGGGAGGCTGGAGAGCGATGCCCTCAGAGCTTGCATGGGAGCTGAAGGGGCATGTGCTCGGCTGGTCACTGTCTCGTAGTCACTGCAGGTTTTTCTGTTCTGCAGAGCTTCTTCAGGAAAGGGAAGGTGCTTCTGGAGATGGGACAGAGAGCTGAAGCCCTGCTGGCGTGGGAGCACTGCCTGACACTCAATCCCCATTTCCAACTCGCACGGAGAGAGATGGAGAAGGTGCGTGGGCCATACCGTGGCAGGGTCCTGTGCCCTCGCATCACACAGGGAGATGCCCTTGTCCTCGGAAGGACTCGTGTCCATCATGGTTGTGCTGTTCTGGCCAGCGTTGGGATCAAGGGAAGATGGGTTCTGGTCCAATAGCCTTCCCATCACTCCGATGCAGGTTCACCTGTGAAGAAAACTCCCCTTCCTCAGTCTGTATCTTTGTGTTTCAGGTTTTGCAGGGTTTAATACTGACATGGCATGAGGTGGGCTTCGAGGCAGCATCAGTAGTGACCCAAGGCAAAGCAGCCAGCCAAAAGCTGCCACTGGAGAGCCAAAGTCTTTTCTGCAGATGATTTCAGGCCAGCACCCACCCATGTAGCAAAATAACCATCACCGGTGAGCCCTCTGGCAGTATTCCCAGCACGGGGACTTCATGTCATGAGTGGGCACTTGCCCTCCAGGAGGGAAAGGTCAGGGGAATAGGGAATGACCTCGTACCCTGCACAGCTCACTCCCTTCCTTCTCTTCATGAGTGATGGAGAACATGGGTCCCAGCCCTGAAAATACACCATTTTGTTCGCTGCCTCGTGGTGTTTCCTTCCTTATGCAATACTAAGGCAGTTGTTTGACAGAGCTCAGCCAGTGCTGAAACAAGTGACCCTGACGTGCCCTGCGGCGAGCAGAAGGCTGCTTTGGGGAAAGAGGGAGCCTGGCAACCCACCCACGTCCCTGCTTCCTTCTCCCAGCACCCCCTGAGCCCCGCTTTCTCCTTGCAGATCCTCATGCGAGAGGATGCTCCTCGGCCACGCACGGCTGCTGCACGCCCAGGTGGTGCTCACCGGGACTCGACTGGTCCCCAGGTGGATGGAGGGAGCCCTGCGCTCCCATCCTCCTCCCCACGAGCTCAGGTAAGAGAGCCTACAACCGTCTGAGACTGCGATGGGACTTACTGTCCCTCTGGGACATCCCAAATGGGGTTTTCCAGTGATGGGAATGGAGGTGTGATAAGGGGAGGCTATGCAGGACCATAGCTGTGTGCATGTGGGTGTGTGCTGAGGTGAGAAGCTGCAGGTAGCAGAGGGTGGGAGAGCAAAGACACCATCAGAGCTGATGCTGTGGGGACTGGGAAAGGAGAGGAGGCTCTTTCTGTCTCCATCCTTCTTCCAGTTTTATTCTGCCATACTTCTGACAAGATTTTAGACTGTCATAGTGTTTAAAACACCCAAATCACATTACATTCAGAAAAAAAAGAAAATGTCAGCTTTAATGTTTTGGGTTTTTTTATCCAAACCCCACATTTGGGAACGGTTCAGACCATTAGCAGTGATTAAGGAAAGCTCATCTTTTGCTCTTTGCCTTCTATAGAATTTGGCAGGTTTGGGGAGAGGGAGAAATCAGAGAAAATGTGCTCAGGTGCACCCAAATGCCATGTGATACATCTGTACAGACTAAACCCACGTTTTGACCATGAGATGAGCAGGGATGTCTGAAGGCCACACTTCCTCGCTGTCCCTCAGGTGCCAGATGTCACCATGCAGCAACACACCAGCAAAAACCCCAGTGACATCAGGCTCGGTGGGGCGGATGGGGCAGTGTCTTCAAAGGGAGAAGAAGTTTTGGGCTCGATTCCATCTTTGCTGTGTCTAGGATCAGGAGGGAGAGCCGGCGGATGGCAGAGGGGACGCAGGGTCTGAGCACGGCCAAGGGACAGCCACCCTTTCCCAGCTGGGGCGACGACAGGAACCGGAGACTTCATCAGAGCGGCAGAAGCGGCAGTGGGTAGGTGGGTGTCATCAAAGGTACCAAAATCTCATCTCATGCAAAATACTTGTTTCAAATCTTAGTGCTGGCGTTGTGTGCCAGCTCTGCGAGCAGACATCCCAGGGGCACCGACGGGGCAGCTCTGGCCAGCACATTTGCTGCTTCTCATGCATGTGAGGAGGACCCGATCTTCCTGCATTGAGCTGGTGAACGTACACCAAACCTTTGGGTCTCACTTGGTGAAAAGTTCTTGCTAAAGCCAGGCATCCATTGTTTCCTGTGTGGAGCCAGGGAGAGGCTTCCTTTGGTTCCCATAGATTGCAAGTGAAATTCCCTCGCGATGCACACAGCATGTCACGCGTTGCGGGAGCGGCACCTCCCTTGGCATTAACTTGCCATCAGCGTCCAGTCAAATGGCTTCCGTGTATGTGGGTTTGCATAAAGCAGTGGTGATGCCTCTTGGCTGGTCTCCAGAGACCTTCTGGGAGCTTCTTAGGTCACGTCATCTCCCAGTGCCTCAGTTTCCCTGCCTGCAGAAGGAGGTAGGGGGATACCACCTTCCTCTGCTGAGCACCGTGAGACCCACTGATGTAAAAGCTGTGGATGAACATGGATTAATAGAGGGGTTTATGTCACATCTCCTAGCGGTTTTGTTTTTAACTTTCAAGGCACTTTGTGTAGCAGTTAACTACTTACACCTCAGAACAAGGTCTGAAAGCCAAGATTAATTTTCAGTGTTGAAATGGGGAGGTCGTCTTCTCTTTCATTCTCTTTTGCCAGTAGATAACGGAGAGGAAACAGCAGCAGCAAAGTGCACCCAGCTGTGCCTCGGGGAGCTGCTGAGTGTGGCTGACTTGGAGTGCTCCCTCTGCATACGGTGAGTTCTCCGGCGGGAGAGCTTTTGGGATGAAGAGTTAGCACCTGCTGGGTTGTCTTTCCTGGTGTGGATCTTTGTTCACATCTTAATAGCAAACTCAGTCCCCAGTGCTGCTGAGACACAGGTTTCGGTAGAGATAAGAGAGGAAGACAGGGGCGTGCTTTGCCCTGCCAGGCTGTAAGAGCTGAGATCGCCCTGTCTTAGGTCACAGCATCGTTAGGTCTGTATCGCTTGGGACATCGGTGTGGAGGTGGGGATGTTCAGCGGGGTTGAAGACTGAAAGCGGTGTTTGCCCTTTGTAACCGCGGGCTGGAACAGGAAGGTGTTGCCCCGGGTAAACACCATCCCTGATGGGGACATTGCAAACCCAGAGGGGAGCATTTCCCAGCAGTGTGTCTGCTGGAGGTGGAAAAGGGGACAGGGTAGAGCCTGTGTCTGTCTGCTGACTCAGGGCCCGGGAAGGGCTGGGTGCTGCCACAGGACATGCTGAAACCACGCTGTTATTTCTGGCGTGTCTCAGGACCTCGGGCGGTTGTGGAACCGGCTGCTGGCAGAGGGCTGGATGCTGCACCACCGCACGTGCAAGATGGTTGAGGTCTCCTGTGCGGTGGCTTTGTCCAGGTCTAGGCATGGCACAGGGGAATGACACAGCGGGGAGAGAGGTCAAGGCTGTATTGGATCTGAATTAGGGGACACCTTCCACTAGACCAGGTTGCCCAAGGCCACATCCAGCCTGGCCTTAAACATTGCCAGGGATGGGGCCTCAACAACCTCTCTGGGCAACCTGTTCCAGTGCCTCACAACCCTCAAAGTGAAAAACTTCTTCCTAATGTTTAATCTAAACCTGCCCTCTTCCAGTTTATAGCCATTCCCCCTCGTCCTGTCACTCCATGCCCTGGTAAAAAGTCCCTCCCCAGCTCTCCTGTAGCCCCTTTAGGTACTGGAAGGCGGCAATAAGATCTCCCCGGAGCCTTCTCTTCTCCAGGCTGAACAGCCTCAACTCTCTCAGCCTCTCCTCATAGGAGAGGTGCTCCAGCCCTCGGATCATCCTCGTGGCTCTCCTCTGGACACGCTCCAGCAGGTCCATGTCTTTCTTATGTTGAGGACTCCAGAGCTGGATTTAGGTGTCTTCTGAGAGCAGGGAAGCATAGTGTTCAGGAGGAGCCAGGGCTCAGTGCTGAGCAGGGCTTTCCTGGGACCTTCATTTCATTTCTGATCCTGGAGCTCCCTGTGAGGAACCCGAGTGCTTGCTGCCACCTCTGCCCTTGGAGCAGGGGAGAAGGAGGCACTTTCCTGTCGCTGCCTTTTGGGCTACACACCACCGCGGGTGTCTGGGGAGCCGCAGCCCTGCCAGGACCAAGAGGTGCCGTGTGTGTACTGATGGGGTCCACAGGGAGCAGTGCTCAGGCCTGGGACAGTGTTCTCACCTTGCATCATTGTGCAAGTCCAACAGTCTGAGCCTAGACCTCTAATTAAAGGAGTAAGCCAGTTAGGAACTTTTACGCTTAATTGACAGGAGTTATGAGCAAAGCTTAGCCAATGCAGCTTTAGTGAAGGTGAGTTTTAGAGCTGTGGGCTACCTGGGCTTGGAAGACACAGTGTGAGATAGCTTTCTGTGGCGTTGCATCCCTGCAGCATCGCTGTCTTCAGTGCAGAAGGCTGGTGAAGGCAGCAGATTTCCCTTGCAATGGTAGGAGAGGACACGGGAAATGCCTTGTACCCGCTGGAAGCAAAATCTCTTGCTCTCAGCAAGGTGATAAAAGGAAGGTGCAGGTACAAGGCTGGGGATAGCCAGAAGCTTTGCCCACCCTGGCCTGCTCGACCCTTACAGCACCAGCCTGCACCTCTGCAAGTCCCTGAGCGCTTAGTGAGACCCCCGCGCTGTGGGGCTGAGACCAGCTGGGGTTTCCAAAGCGGGGGTGCTGCACCAGGCTCGGGGAACGACAGCTTTGAGGGCACTCAGCTCTGTGAAGTCTCTCCGCTGGGCTTACCTGCTCTCCTTCCCTCATGTTGCTCTCCGCGGTCCATTAACTTTGGTCCCTTTGCAGGATGTTCTTTGAGCCGGTGACGACGCCGTGCGGGCACACCTTCTGCAAGGAGTGCCTCGAACGCTGCCTGGACCACCGGCCCAACTGCCCCCTCTGCAAACAGAGCCTGAGAGAGGTGAGGGCATGTGTCCCAGTGGGATGGAGCCTGAGGGAGAGCTGGGCACCGGCTCTGGCTGCCGGCAGCGTGCCCAGGGCTGGGGTGGCAAGGTGCAGTGCTCTTACGTTAGCAGCTCCCTAGCGTGGCGGTGTCAGCTTCGCTCACGTGGGAATGACCAGACAGTTGATAATTAAGACCAAGAGATTCATTTCCACAAGATGCCACAGTGATTTAGTGAGATTGTAAACAGGACTGAGAGGGAGGGAGAGAAAAAGAAGTGAATGCTAATTACTTTTAAAAATGGAAATGGATGGAAAACCTGCTAGCCTGGAGATTTGATTTAATCTTTAATGAAAAGGGATTCAGATGAGATCGTCAGGGAAATTAGGTTGTCATACAAGGACTGCATCACTGTCAGAGACAGGACGCTGCGTTGGATGGGCTCTGGGTCTGAGTCGCGTCTGGAGTCTCGGTGGAGCTGACATCCCGTCCTGCTAGATGGCTTGACATCCCCCGATAGGTTTTATCCCTGACTTTCTCTGATCTAAATATACCCTCAGCTCCCATAAAAGTGAGCGTGATTCAGAGCCCAGCAGGGCCCCAGGGCCACCCCCCCCCGCCCCCCCCAGCTCTTCTCCAACCTATTTCTGGGTTTAATTTCTTTTAGTACCTGAAGGCTGGAAGCTACAGCCCCACCATGCTGCTGCAGGACATCATGTTGGCCACCTTCCCTGCACAGCTGGCCGAGCGCCGGGAGCTTCACCGGGCTGAGATGGCAGAGCTCTCCAAGTACGCGGGGACCTGCTCCAGTGTGTGTGCATGGGGGCTGTGAGGGGCTGCGAGGGGGCCATCCACACCACATACCATTGCTCTGGCTTGGTTCTACTCAAGTGATGTGTGTCCCACCTTTAGGACAACATTACAGCAGTGCGGGGTGGATGCGGACATGCCCAGTGGGACACCTGGGGTTGAGGGGGTATCTCTGCAAGGAGATGTTTTCTGGGTAACATCTGTCCTTGGGCTCTTGGTGAGCCAAGTGGAAGCTTTGATGTTGCTCTGTGCCAGAGCATCACTTCTTGGGGTAAAGGACACATCTAGTTTGGGGGAGCAGGTGACGCAGAGCCTTTGGCATGGGATTTGCTCTGGGAGGTTTCATAGTTGTCTCTCCTCCTGTCCCTCAGCCTGACCAAGAACATCCCCATCTTCGTATGCACGATGTCCTTCCCAGGCATTGCCTGCCCTCTGCATGTTTTTGAGCCTCGCTACCGCCTCATGATCCGGCGGTGCCAGGAGACCGGCACGAGGAGGTTTGGCATGTGTATATACGAGAATGGGAAAAGGTGAGCTCCTGGGCAAGGCGACTTCTGCCCCGGCTGATCTGCACCTCTCTGCCCCAGCCCCAATGTCTAAAATCCCGAGTAGTTCAGAGAGAAGGGACCAGGTGCCATTTCCTATCCCACTGCACCCTGCAGATAAAATCAGCAGAGAAGTGGTGCGTTCCCCACACAGCAGAGTGAAATGGGATCTTGCTGCTTCCCAGCATCACCACCAGCCAGGCAAGGAATAAGGCCAGTGCTGGAGCTGGGCAGAGCCAGCAGTGGCTGTTGAATATGATGGTCTGGGAACAGCTTCTGGCTCAGGATGTCTCTGAGCTGCATGGTTCCCTGGCAGTGTCCTCCACCTCCTCTTGGTGAGCAGTTTAAAATTGCCATATTTCTCATACTCTGTCCTTAAGCTGTGAGAGGACGCTGGGCTAAATGGGCTTTTGTTTGGTACAGTGTGACCATGCTTATGTTCCTAGTGGCACCTCCAGGTCTCAGGTGAGCTCACTCTCCAGGCTCCTAACCCAAGTACACAACATATCCTCCCTATGCTCCAGTCCTGTTCAAGTGAAATGAGATAAACAACATTTTATGGGCTTTTGGAGGATTTCTCTGCAAGGGATGATGTCTTCAGGACCACTGGACATCAGAGCAGTATGAGGACCTAAGTCATTTTGGTATACGGCAAATCCAAGGGAGTGCGGGCAGTGTGCTCGCTGTGCGCTGCCCTCTTAGCGGCAAGTGGTAACGCAACAGAGTTGAGTGAACCTCCGCGTTTGCCCCCTCCCAGCCAGCTTGTTCATAGGCCTTTTCCTCCTTTGGAGGTGGTGCCTTCAGGAGAAGCAGCTCTCTCGCCACTGGTACGCCAGCTCAGCCCCCCTTTTCTTTCCCTGGCTCCTTCCAGTTTTGCTGACTATGGCTGCATGTTGGAGATCCGGCAGATCGAGCTGCTGGCGGACGGGAGGTCCTTGGTGGACACCATTGGCCGGCGGCGGTTCCGGGTGCTGAGCCGGGGACACAGGGACGGCTACAACACTGCCGACATAGAGTACCTGGAGGACAAGAAGGTGAGGACAGGGCCAGGGCAAAAGCCCCCTCTGCGGTGGGACAGAGCCTCCCCATGGACACCTTCTGCACTTTTGTTTGGTACAGTGTGACCATGCTTATGTTCCTAGTGGCACCTCCAGGTCTCAGGTGAGCTCACTCTCCAGGCTCCTAACCCAAGTACACAACATATCCTCCCTATGCTCCAGTCCTGTTCAAGTGAAATGAGATAAACAACATTTTATGGGCTTTTGGAGGATTTCTCTGCAAGGGATGATGTCTTCAGGACCACTGGACATCAGAGCAGTATGAGGACCTAAGTCATTTTGGTATACGGCAAATCCAAGGGAGTGCGGGCAGTGTGCTCGCTGTGCGCTGCCCTCTTAGCGGCAAGTGGTAACGCAACAGAGTTGAGTGAACCTCCGCGTTTGCCCCCTCCCAGCCAGCTTGTTCATAGGCCTTTTCCTCCTTTGGAGGTGGTGCCTTCAGGAGAAGCAGCTCTCTCGCCACTGGTACGCCAGCTCAGCCCCCCTTTTCTTTCCCTGGCTCCTTCCAGTTTTGCTGACTATGGCTGCATGTTGGAGATCCGGCAGATCGAGCTGCTGGCGGACGGGAGGTCCTTGGTGGACACCATTGGCCGGCGGCGGTTCCGGGTGCTGAGCCGGGGACACAGGGACGGCTACAACACTGCCGACATAGAGTACCTGGAGGACAAGAAGGTGAGGACAGGGCCAGGGCAAAAGCCCCCTCTGCGGTGGGACAGAGCCTCCCCATGGACACCTTCTGCATTCCTCTTCCCTCCACGCAGGTGGCCGGGGAGGAGCTGCAGGAGCTGCAGTACCTACACGAAAACACTTACCGCTTGGCTCAGCGGTTCTGTGAGCACGGAGACCTTGCCTCCAGGCACATTTTGATGCAGCATGGACCGCTGCCGGAGAAGGAAGAGGACATCCAGGTAACATCCTGAGGGAAGGGATGCTCTAAACAGAGAGGGTACCAAGAGAGCCTCTGAAGCAGCACCGTTCCTGCCGTGACCACCCGGCTTCCCTGCTCGGCTCCTCTCCCCCAGGATGAACAAACAAACACCGTTTTTCACTCCCACTACCAGTTACAGCATCTGTCACTCAGAGAGATGTTAGAGCTTATTTCTTAGAACTGTTTAGTATTTCTGTATGGTTTTAAACTGTTCTTGGAAACTGAGCAGTGAGTTTTAAAAGTTTTCCTGAAGTCTTCCTAAATGACAGCTGAGAAACTGTCCGGGTTTGAAAACACTGGGGAAAGAAAAAAGAAAACACAAATAGACAAAAGAAATGAACCCCACAGCTCAGCGAGGCTGCGGTCTCCTTTCTCATCGTGTTCCTTTGAGACAGCCGTGGCTGGCCGGAGGAGAGGAGCTCAGAGGGCAGGATCCAGTTTGCTTATTAAATTGCTCTGACAAATTCAGATTCTGGAGGGAAAAAAAAAAAAGAATCCCCAAATTTAGTTTTCACTCCTTTAAGAAAGTGTTTCCTGTCTGGATCATCACAAATATGCTCTTGCTGGCTTGTCCCAGGCTAAGGTTGTCCCGGCCAGAGGTTGCATCAATGCTGTGCTCAAAATTACAAAACGATTCACTCTCCTTCGGCTGAATTGAGCATTTCCCTCTTAGTTTAGCTCAAGTTTTTAAAAAAGGCGGTTTACAAAAGCGCTGCCCAGCGGTTGTGCCTGCCTGGCCTGCGCTGCGCCTCTTTGAGTGATAGTAAGACAAATGCCCCAAAAGACACCGACTTTGCAGGATTTGGCCCATGTTTACAAAAAGCATTGCCTGAAACAAGGAAACGCACACGATATTTCTTTGTCTCTTTAGTATAGACTTTTTCCCAGTTACATCTCTGTCTGCAGACTCCCTGGGGAATGCCTGTCTGGAAATTGAATTAGTTTATCCAGCAGTTTTGAGCCTGAACAGACAAAAGGGCCGTTCAGAGGAATACCTTAGCCAAAGTGGGTATTTCCTACCCTGACCACAGCGACTGTTTCCCATCGGCGATGCTGCCCAAAGGCCGCCCATTCACCTTGCTGGTCCTCATGCGGGGCTCTCTCCCTCTCTCCCCTCCAGGCTTCAGCAGACGGCCCGACGTGGTGCTGGTGGCTCATCTCCATCCTGCCCCTTGACCCGTCCTACCAGCTGAACCTCTTCTCCACCACCTCCCTGCGTGCCCGCCTCACCCAGCTGCAGCGCATCCTCACCGCCCTGCTGCAGCAGCCCCCCGCCGGGCACCCGCTGCCCGAGCGCAGCCCCCGGGGCCGCGTCTGAGCCCCCCCGGCCTCTCTGCGGGGGACACCTCCACCCCCTTGGGTTTCTTTATGTGTTGCTTCATGGGTTTGCGTGTGGTTTGAGCCTTCCCCCCCTCCCATTCCCAAAAGTGACCTCAGCAATGAGCTGGGCACCCTCTGCCCGGCTCGGCAGGGCCGGTGCTGCACCGGCAGTGACACTACACCGTCCATGCCACCTCTGGGAGCTGCTCGGTGACACGGCACATACCGCCGGAATGGGGACTGGGATGGAAATCTGGGTGGCATCTCGGGAACCAAAGTCACTTGTTGAGCTGCTTCGGTGCTAAGGAGGATTCTCCTTACGGCAGAGGACTGAGTGCCAGGATCGCCTTGGTTTTGGCTCTTTTGTTTTGAAGGACATCCTAGGGAATTTTGGTACATGGTCCTGCTCCGTGCAGCAGATTTAGAGGCTTGGGAGAGGTGACACCAGGAGGCAGAGGTCCCGATGGCTTACCCCAGCCTTGGGAGCTGACAGCTCTGCCTCCGCTTACGACTTTGACTTAATTTCTATTTGAATGAGAAGAAAGGTTAAATTAAACAATCTGAAACTCATGGGCTTGCTCCTAACCACCTCCACGGCCACACGGCGAGGAGATGCTGCTCTCTGAAGGTGGCCAGGTCCAGCCATCGCCTGCCCACTGCTCCACTTGGTGTTGTGCCGTGTTTGCTGTGCCGAGCTCACCAGCCGCTTCCCCGGGCTGGAGCCGTGCCGGAGGCTGCCAGCCGCTTCCCCGGCTGCTGGCTCCACTGCCCTGCCATGTCGTGGGAAGTTGGAATGGTTTGGAAGTGTTGGTGCTTTTCCCCCCACCCAAAGGCTGCTGTTCCCGAGCCTGGCTGGGTTCAGGTTGCGAGGTCAGACCTGAGGTCTGGAAGGAGCCTCTGGCACGAGGGAATTAAGCCTGGAAGCGGTTTTGTGAGACTTTCTGCCCCTTGACTTGTGCAATTTTCCCACGTTCAGTGGTTTTTGTGAACTTTTTGCCACCTCAGGAGAAAATCGGGATCTGAGCTGAGGCCAGATGCTTGCACTTGCAACCCACAAGAGTTCAGGATCCCCCAAAAGAGCACAGAATAAAGTTAAAGGGAGCTGAACCTCTGGAGAGGCAGGGGGAGGTAGGACCAGTGACCGAGGCTGTGAGCCCCACGTCAGGGGAGTAAGTGCCTGTCTGCAAGTGCCTGGCTGCTGCTTGTCTCTACACACAGGGAAAGGACTATCCCCTCGGACAACCAGGCTTTCCTCCATAGAAATCCTGAAGGTTTGGGATTTTTGTCTCCCATCCATAATTTCAGTGGCTTTGGGTTGAATTTTAGGAGTGACATCCACTTAGTCGTTGGATTAACGTTACTTCCAGAATTTTATCCCTGCTTTTCTCAAAGGCTCTGCACCCCATCTGGGGGGGTCAGTGGGCCACGTGTGGGAGAGAAAATCAGGCTGGGGCTACAGTGCTCCTTCCTGCACGTGTTGCTGGGCTGAGTCCGGGGCAGGAGGACACAGCTTCGGAGAGGTCCACCACCTTTCCCTGTCTCATTCTCTCCAGGAGTGAGAAGTCTTGGTCCCTCCTCTCCAGCAACAGTCAGGGGGAGCGGAGAGCTTACTTCCCAGGGACCACAGAGCATCTGTGGACAACTCAAAGTTGGAGTTGCTCCTCTACCTTTGAGCCATGTCCTCCCCCACTTTGCTGCAGTCTCTAGGGCACCATGACTACCCCAAGGGGCTACATCCCCGGGATGTCAGATCGGGGTGGGCAGGGGTAGGTGATGGAGGGACACCTCGCAGTCCCAGGGCAGGTGTGTGCAGGTGGCAGGATGCCACAGAAGTTTGGGAAGTGCCTTTCTTTTCTGCGGGGTCAATGTGAGCTCAAACAGTGACAACCTACCCCCCTCCCACCCGCCCCGAGACGCTCACCTACCCCCTGAGTTGCCTGTTCCCCAAACGTGGAAGCTCCCTGGGACATTGTGGGTCCCTCCAGCAAGGGGGAGGCACGGGAGATGCAGGGGAGCAGCGTGGCTCTGCACCGTGTCCACGTTGGGGGAGAGCCGGGGACCAGAGCCACATCTGCCCGGCTGCTTTAGGAAGGGACTTGTGCAAATCGCTCCGGTTTGCTTGGAGTGCCTTTGGGGTTTGTATTAGTATCTTTGCTCTTTGAATTAAATTTTCTTCCCGTTCATTGAAATAAAGACCTTTTTCGTTGTTGTTGTTGTTGTTGTTTTGTTCCTGGTATGAAACCTTTAGCTGCTTATTGATGAAAGTGTTTGGGCATCACCAGGGAGATTTGGGGGTGCATGGAGAAATGACACCCTGGCCTTCAGACAGCAAGTTAGATATACACAGTGAGCACAGTCCAGCAAAGGTAGATGGCAACAAGGGAAAAAAATAAGGTGGTTTTGCTTGCAGAAAGTAAGAACCTGAAACAAGGCAGGAGGGACTAACTCCTGCCTGTCATCACAGCTAAAGGCTGTGGGGAAGGATGGGAACTAGGAGACCAGTCTGGTAGAGATGCTGACCAGTGTGGGTTGACCCTGGAGGGTGTCTGTCAATCGAATGCTGGGGAGAGCGTCTGTCTCTGTCCCACCTTTGCAACCATGGGCAGAGGGCTGTGAGCTGCGACCAGGTTTATTTTTGGCAGCCAGCATTAGGGATGAGTGACAATCCAGGGAGACACACACGGGCTCTAAAATGAGAGGGTGGCTCTGGATGGAGAGGGGACGGTCTTCAACCTTGAGCACGGGGATGTCCTGTGAAGACAGCTCTCACCTGTCTGTTGTTCCCACATCACCTTTTTCCTCCAACTCCCAAATGTGCCATCCAAAACCGAGGGCAAGAAGGGAACTTCTGCCCAACTCTGCTTTGCACCCTGCCTGGGAACCTGGAACAACTGTAGGAGAGAGGGAGAGAGCTCAACTGGTCTGAGCTAGTTGCTAACCCTAAAAAGATCCCAGGGTCTCTTCCAGGCCATTAATGACTGGCTCCATGAGGAATTATACCTTGAACTTCACCCCTGGCAATTCTTCACAGAAAACAGCCGTGCCCTGGTGAAGCCCAGCTGTGTGCTGTGGCCAATGCCAGCCCCTTTGGTGGCTCCGGTAGCCCAGGCCTTGTGCCCGACCAGGTGGCTAGCACGTGTCTGAGTGTCCGGGAGTCTGGAGCTGGCACTGGATGCCTTTGCCGTGTTGCCCTGTTCCCACTAGGTGTCAGGAAGAGGCTGAGTGCGGGCGAGGAGGAAGGCACAGCGGAGGGGATGTGCAGCATCAGTCGCTGCTAGAGCTTTGGCTATGCTTTTCTCACCTCCAGCCCCAAATCAGCCCCGCTCTCAGGCCTGGCTCCACACATCGAGTAGGGCTGAGCTGCCCCGAGCTCTCCAGCAGCACAGAAGTGAAGCTGGGGACTGGTGCAGTGTGTCACTTGAGGCCACCTCCTCTTTCCCAAGTGTGGTGTCTGTCCTGGGACATCCTTTCTCCAGTAAGATCTTGTTTGTCCTCCTGGGACTGGAGCAGGGGATTGGGGCAGTTGGGGGAGTGTCCTCCTCCCCATCCTCCTGGTGGTCATGGCCTCAGCTCATAGGTGGGAGATGAGGCAAATTCTTGTCCCAGCACACAGCTGGGACAGAATGGTGTCCTGTGACCCCTTGTAAAAGCAGACCCAGCATCTTGCAGCCCCATTGGGAAGATGGGGTGTTTCACACAGCAATTGGGATCTGGATGGGGGCAGCTGGGAGGGATCCGGCTGCATCCATGCTGCCACTCTCCCAACCCTGCCCCAAATGTCTACCTGGGTGAGGGAACCCCAGTATCCCCACCATTAGGTGGGTCTGTGAGGTGGATGTTGGGCTCATCACTGGCTCCCACCGTACCATCCCCTCCCGAGATGCTCTTCCCTTCAAGATCCTCTTTGGGCAGCTTTTTGACCCAGGCTGCTATGGCCTGACTCTGTCTGGGGGGGCACAGAGGATCCGAGGTGGCCAGGAGTGGCTCCTTCCCCAGCTCCGAGGGCTCCTGTTTAACCTCATCCTCTGTCACGAGCCCATGGAGAAGCCAGATCCGGTCCTGCCTGGCATGGCTGGGGCTAACAGCTACGTGCACCTCCAGCCCCTCTGCCCCAGGCTCAGTGGTCGCATGCATGGCAGCTTCACCCCCAAATCAGCAGCCAAAGCTGTGGGGAGATCGGTCCACCTCTGCATAGCCTCCTCTGAGGCACTCGGGGTCTGAGGGGAGACGAGCCACCCGACCCTGCCACACAGGAGCTCCCTCCCACCTGCACCACCACGCTTTGCTTTCTGCTTTTTGTTTTGGATTTGTTTCCTTCCTGTATTTTTCTGTCTCCGTGTGTGCTCCTCTCCTGCACATCCCAACAATACCTAGTAACGATTTCTGGCCTTTATATAACACTCATCATCATAGCTTTCCAAACGGACATCTGTATCCTTCTCTGGATTTTGCAGACAGGAGCTGGGAGTGGGAAGAGGCAACGTGTTGCCCAGTGTCACCTAACAGGGTCCTTGGTAGTCAGGGGACCACTGTCCAAATGGGTTCCTCTTTGCAATGCATCCAACCCCCACCTCTGTGGATGCTGGGATATATCCTGCACCTGGATTTTACATCCCTGGGGAGGTGTAAGCCAGAACTAGCACTGGCCCCGCTCCCACCATCCCAAAACGTATCCTCCAGCTCCCCGACCCCCTCTGCAGTAGCATCATTTCCTCCCTTCCCATTCAGCACCTTCAACTCGAGACGTTTGTGACAACTTCCTGCACCTAATAGTGTGGGCAAGCAATTAGCTAAAGAGGCAAGTAATTAATACAGCAGGTGTCAGGCTGCGCCTTGTCTTTCTTTAACAAATGGCGCATTTCCAAACTAATTAGACCAGCCGGTACTTGAGATAGTGGAAAATCAACGTGAGATTGTTCGAACTAAGATCTTCTTCTCTAGCAAGGCCACGCTCGTGCTACAAGAGGAGCACAGTACATGTTAAGGTTAATGAAGGTG